TCCTGATATTATACAATTAATTTTATATAGATCAACTTTAATTTCAAGATTTATTTTCATACAAATAAATCACCCCTTAGCTATAGGATTAATACTATTAATTCAAACTTTACAAATTTGTTTAATAACAGGATTAATAGCTAAAAGATTCTGATTTTCTTATATTTTATTTTTAATTTTTCTAGAAATTGCTTTAATTTGACCAATAATTTTAATTATTAAAATTTCAAATATTTTTATATGAACAATCACTTCAATTATTTTTATTATTATTTTAATTATTGGATTATATCATGAATATTAAATTGATCAAATTAGGGTTGTAGTTAATTATAACATTTGATTTGCATTCAAAAAGTATTGAAATTTCAGTCTACCTTAATTAATTGAATATGAAGCGATTTATTGCAATTAGTTTCGACCTAATTTTAGGTAATTTAATACCCTTATTTTCAATTAATATTGATCTATTAATTGAAGCCAAAAAGAGGCTTATCACTGTTAATGATAGAATTGAGAAGGAAGTATGATGTTCAAGAAAAAGCTGCTAACTTTTATCTTTTAATGGTTAAACTCCATTTATACTTCTGTTTATATAGTTTGATAAAAACATTACATTTTCATTGTAAAATTAAAATATTCTTTTTTTATAAATTACAAATATTAATTCACTACATTCAAGAATTATTCAATTACCCTAACATCTTCAATGTTATGCTCTAAATTTAAGCTACTTGAATAAAATAATAAAAAAAATCTAAATAAAAAAGTAATTCATAAAACAAATAATAGCAAATAAATTTTTAAATTATTATTATGAAAAAAAAAAATTCAATTGGAAATTTAATTCATCTATTATATAAATTTTGACCACCTAAAAATTCTGATCAACCTTGATCAAATGATTTATAAACTAATCCCCCTAAATTTAATGGAAAATTAATAATTCCATAAGTACAAATATAAGGTATAAATCATATAGAACCAAAAAAGTAACTAACTAAATAATTATTGAATGATTTATTTAAATGAAATAAAGAAACATGAGAAATTAAATACACTATTAACCCCCAACAATACAAACAAATAAAGTTAATAATTTTATATATATAATTAATAAACCTCTTATTCCACGAAGTATAATTCAACCCTCATCTCTTAATATATTTAAAGAACCACAATTTAATTATCCCGTTATTGAATAATAAATTAATCGAAAAGAATAACAAACTGTTAATCCAGTAGAAAAAAATATAAAAAGAAAGAAAAAAAATTAATATAACTTAATGAAACAATTTCTAAAATTATATCCTTAGAATAAAATCCAGCTAAAAAAGGCATTCCACATAAAGCTAGATTAGCAACATTAAAACAAGAAGTTCTTAAAGGTATATAAACCCCCAATCCCCCTATTAAACGAATATCTTGTGAATTTTGTATATTATGAATAATAGCTACTGCACATATAAATAATAATGCTTTAAATAATGCATGAGTTAAAAGATGAAAAAATGCTAATTTATAAAACCCTATTGATAAAATTCTCATTATTAATCCTAACTGACTTAATG